GTCACAAGGAATACTGGAAATAGGAGAAATGACTGCTCCTGCCTGAGGAGCAGTGATGGGATCAGTTCATCTGTACCTCTCTTGTGGTCTCACGATGAGAATAGAATGTGGGAATGCACGTCCGTCCCTCTGAAAAGCACAAGAACAAATGGTGCAAAATAAGATCATTGTTTGGGGAGGGAAACCTTCCCCGCAAAGGTCTGAGGTATTGCAGCTGTCACAATGCACTTCTGACAAAGATAAACGACAAGCTGGTGTTCATAAAGGAGGTTGACCATTGGACAGTTTCCAACAAACCAAATGCCCGAAAGGAACTAATTGCAATGAGAAAACAGTGATTTTGAAAGCTGCTCGACAGTCATTGAGGAGAAACAAGAGTTCGCACACAACGGCACAACATGAAACCCCAGCGTCGTTAGTCAGGAATGGATTAAATAATGTGGCCCATTTGCATTTGATCCACAAAACCTACTTGAGAAAATATTTGCTGTTTTACGAGCCAGTGCTCCCTCTCAACGCTGTGAAACATAACAAATCACGGCCTTAATGTAACTCAATACCACCTCTGAAGTGTAAATCAGTCTCTGCCTGAGACTGAATTCCAATCACAAATTAAGTTGCTTTAACATAAGAATGTGAGAATAGGAAAATATCCTCCGTGGGCACTCACTCTTGTCGGTCCTGGCTTTTCTTCAGCTTGTTCCTATCCCAAATTCACACTAATGTATTGTTTGCTCAATGACGAGCTGATCCTATTTCCTTTTGTGTGCTTCGATCGAATAATAATAATCCCTGCATTTGATATTGCGCCTTATCACGCTGAGACGTCTTCACAGAATATACTGTAAAGTGAACCGACTGTATATTTTGTGGGCAAAACGCGGCAGCCAATTGTGCACATCAGTGTCTCACAAACAGTCATGGACTGAGTCATGATCAAATTATTATTTTTTTGGAGGGATTATTACCCCCAGAAAGTGATCCAACGATCGAATAATAACCAGGTTCCTACTTACTGTTAGGTAAATAGAGGCATGTGGAATAAGGCACCTTGCCTAAGATTTCACCCTGTCGGGAATCAAACCTGAAGCTGGGTCCTCCAGCTTGCGAGGCAAATGCTCTACCCAATATCCTACAGAACTCCACGAATCATTAGTTCCTACATGAGGTGCCTTCTATTCTGCAAGTCTACAGCTCAAAGTGGTGCCGTCATTCAGATGAGACCTAACCCAAGGTCCCGTCTACCTGTTCCGGAGGCTATTGAAGATTCCATGCAAAAAGAGAAGGGAGTTTTTCCCAGTGTCCCAGCCAACAGTCCCCCAGATAAAATCTATCATTCACTTCATGGCTGTTTGTGGGATATTGCTTGTGGAGTTGGGCTGTAGTCTTTGTCTACAAATGCAGTCACTCCTCTTCACAGTAAGTCCCGTGAAGAGCTTTTGAGTCGTCCTCCTGACGTGAAAGGCACTATACCAAATGTAAGCATTATTATTTTTACTATAGCTTGTTTTCCTTTATTTCTGGCTTGAACACAATTTTGCATCCTGACTCTCAATTTGTAGAGTGGACTCCTGTAGTGCAGTGGGATTAGCGAACTTGCCTTACAGGTGAGAGAACCCGGATTTGATACCCAGGGAAGACGAAACCTTAGGCAAATTTCCTCTGTTGACCTCGCAGTAAGTAGGAACCCATTGTTAGTTGATTAGCGGATCGCTGTTTTGGGGATAATAATCCTTTTAGAAAAATATTAATTTGGTTACTCAATCCAGGATAGTTTGTGGGGACAGTGCTGTGTGCAATTGGCTCCTGCGTTTCATCCACAAAATTCACTTGACGGTGTATTCTGTGAAGCGCTTTGAGACTTCTCGAAGACGTGATAAGGCGCTATATCAAATGCAAGAATTATTATTAGAATTCCTTCAGTTATTTTTACAAATGTTGATCACTCCAATCTAGTGCTGGGGAAATGCTGCATTGTCAAATGTGCTGTTGTTTAGATGAGATGCTAAACTGAGATGCCATCTGCTTGTTCAGGTGGATATAAAAGATCCTATGTAGTATGTGAAAGAGTGGAGTTTCTCCCATTTGTCCTGATTAAAAATCCAAATAGAAAATTGGGTTATTCAATTCACAGCTGTTTGTGGAACTTTGCTGTATCAAAATTGGCTGATGTTTTCCTACGAACTACACGGTCGCTATACTTTCCAGAACTCAGTGAAGCATTTTGATGTGATTAAATTTAAAATTAAATTAAACTGTATTAAATTTAAAAACTACCTGTTGGTGAAGGAGCCTTTAGTGTATAAATGAAGTGTTGGAAGCAAGATGATCCAGTCTGGGACCTGTTGTTAGAAATGGATGATTAGAGGATCTGAAACTGATCGGAAATGAATCCTTTCCAAATTCCTATTTCGATTGCTTTTTCCCCAAAATGACCATCTGTTGCAGATGTTGCGGAAGATTAGAGTTTGGATATTAATAACAGCTAATGACTTAGATAATGACATATTGGCAACATCCTTGGTCTCCTTCTGGTTGCTTTCATTGCCAATTCTTACTGCTGGGAGTGGGAACAGGAAGATTTGTGGTCTGACCATCAGCCTGTCATTATTGAATAAGGTCCTCGACCCACTGTAGATTCTTCGACCTCTTGGAATGCTTGGCACAATTTCCAAATAGCGAATTATCAGACTCATCAGAAGACACCAGCTAGAACTGGCTCAGGGAAGGACCTTACTGATTTAATCCAGATGTTGGAGGCAGAATTCAAAAATACAGATGGAAATAAATAAATCGAAGCACAACTTGGTACTGCGAGCAGGCGGAGCAACAATATTCACTAAAGAGTTAAATCATTTTACAAAACGCAGAATACGACAGATGCCGGAAATCTGAAAACAAAAACAGAAGTCGCTGGGAACGCTCAGCGGGTCGGGCAGCATCTACGGAGAAAGGAAAGCGAGTCAACGTTTCGGGTCCACGACCCTTCGTCAGTTAAATGATGTGACTCGAAAGGTGACCCTCGATCGAGTAAAGTTGGCGAAGAGTGTTTCAGAATGAAAATCTCTTAGGTCGTATTTATGTGGTACACAATGGATTTTACTTGTGAGAATAAAAAATATTTTCTACTCGACAACTAGAGGGCGACATTTATTGACGCGAGTCACTCGATAACATTCCGCGTTTTACTTTAAAGTGGATGGACTTGTGGGCGAAAACAAGACTTTACTCCGTGAAGCGTTTTGAGACGTGCTTTCAGTGTGGTAAGGTGCTAAATCAAATGCAAGGATTATCATTACATTGTGAGTGGTTGACCCCTTTATGAACAATAACCACTTGAATAAACTGCTTCAGGAATGAAGTCGCAAATATATCTTTTTTTTTTGAAACTCGGATTTGAGCTAAACCCAGGACTGAGTAACTTCCCCGTTAATTGTTTTAAATTTTAAATGGGGATGATATTATAATAGACCTACATCTTACAGACCGGGAGCTCACTGGTATGAATCATGACTTGTGCTGGTCTCAGCTGGAGCTGTATGGGGAGGGAAAGTAATTTTAATCCAACACTTTGCTCGCCACAATACCAAACTCTTCTCTACGCAAACTGCAAAATATCCAGAACTCTGCAACCTATATCTTTTCTTGCAATATCACCCCTACCCTCGCCCACCTCCATTGACTCCCAATACCCCAGAGAATTGAGGTCAAGATCCTTGCCCTCGCATTTATATCCTTTCATGGACTTTCCCTTCACTATCTCTGCAACCTCCTGAAACCACTCTAACCTGGCCGGTCCTTTCACTCAGCGGGCACCGGCCTGCTTCATATCCTCTGCTCTACCGCTCCACCATCAGAGATCGGACTTTTAGCCAATCTGTCCCTACTCTCTGGAACTTTATTCCGGAGTCACAATGACTAGTTTACGTCCTGCCCTCTGCCCACCTCACCATCGGCAGCCGTGCCTTCAGCCTTTCTGGAATTCTATCCCAGACCCTTTGCCTCACCCTCTCTCTTGCCTCAAGGCCCACCTCAAGACCTTCCCCTTTAACTGCGCCTTCGGTGGCTCTCCCATCCGTACTCTCCACACATCCTGATCCCAACACCCAGCTCGAGCGCAATACTCGACTGTCCAGCACCTTGGGAAGTCCTCCCGACGTGAAAGGCTACACAACTGTAATTTGTTGTCGATCTTCTGTCACTCCTTTCAAGGTCAGTCTCAAGACTTACCTCTTTGACCATCAGTCATCTCCATCTACTGGTAGTGCGTATGTGCGAGAGCCAGGTGAGAAGACGTCAGGTCTCTGCAGTTAAGTGCTGGCCAAGACTCACACATTAACAAGGGAAGGGTCAGGGAAGCAAAGAGCAACCAATGCCCATGGAATCACCATGCCAGCACGAGGAGACCGGGAACCAGGATCAGAGAAAGAAAGAAAAAAACATCCAGCATGCGTCAACTTCAATTCAGACACACAATGAAGAGTAAAAAAACACAGCTGACCGGCAATAGTGTACTTTATCTTTTGGAATTTATTTTATGGATCAAGTTACACAAATCATATCGTTTAAAAAAAAATTAAAAGAAAATATTAAACCCTAAATATCTTAGGAGAATGTGTCACTGTGATAAGTATTATATAAATGTACCAGCCTAATAAAACGAGTTCATAGTCCTTTCAAAAATTGAATATCAGAATAAACTAAAGGCAATTTCTACTATATTACATACAAGAAACTGAGATTGATCACACTGACATTGCACCATTTTGAAATATCCCAAAAGTGTGTAAAAATGTTGATAGCAATACCCACTATTGTGCTCTTTGGAAACAAAACTGCAGGACGTATAATCGTGCAGTAATAAAGGACGTCTAGAAAATGAATATAAATATTTACTTTGCTTGTACTATTTTTGAGGTAAGTCAAATTAAGCGAGGGTCTGAGGATTTGGTATTTAAAAGCATCTGCTCTGATGACAGATGTCTTCATTATCTTCTAGATTTGTGAATCAAACTTATAGTAAGATTAAAAAACTACATTTTGTGCATTGGGATAGCGTGGGTTGTCCTGTATGTACTGCATGTAGAGCACAAAGCCTGCGCGCTCGAGAAATCACAAGTAGAGACTTAGTCCAATCTCACCAGCCCACAAGGGGGAGTGTTTGCTTTCCACAAGAAAGCTCAGCTGGAAGTTGGCATCGAGATAGATGCATTTGGAATATGCCTGTATTAAGACTGTTAGTACCAGTGGTGAGGATGAACCTGTCCATCACAGGCAAAAAGGCACATGCTTTCTGTAAATACAGTGAATGGCACATCAAGGCATCACTCATTTCAGAGACCAGTAATCATTAAGCAACGTGTTAGCTAAATGACAAGCAGAAGATCCACAATCATTTATCCACATATAACGTTAACATGTACTATAACTGACCAATTCCCCAAAGCTTTACCTACAATGTACTGTATATGAAACTAAATGCAAGATGATAAACATATATAAAGCATTACATTAGAGAAATTAACAGTCTGACCAGAAATTTTATGTACAATCAGCACGTACATATTCTATCAGAAATTCCAGTAAATAATCAGGGGAAAATAAATCACTATGACCTTAGAAAGCTAACTAAAAGTAAGCGTTTGACCATCTTTTGTCAGTGTGCCGATACCTGTAATTGCATTGGTTTCATTGTAGAGTGTTCACAAAGTCCTGTTACCCCCTCCCCCACCTCATCCTGTTATTTTCTTCCTTATAATGAATTTCTATTTTCCTGTTGCAGATGAGTCGTGTGCAACAATGTGTGACACCAGTAACTTCCACCTCACTCCATCTATGGCACCGAACATGGTGACGGAGCATGTCTACCATGAAAATGCTGGCGCTCACACACTGAGATCCTCTGGGTGTCTAAAGACAGTTAAACACTTGCACTGAATACAATTAAGTACTTCTAAATGCAAGTATCATCTTTCTCCCACGTTTCAGTTGGTGGTCAGTGCAGCGGGTAAAAAAAACACACGGGGGTAACAGGACTTTGTGAACACTCTGAATATTACGTTACAAAACAATTTCAGCTTACCTGGAAAACTCAATTTGATTGATTGTGCGTGCAAATGAAAGCAATTTAACGAGTTGACCAATCTGAGCAGCAATGATCTAAATTGCCTCTAAATATATTGTTAATTTAACCCAAAAATGCAATCTGAAGACGAATGGGAAGCTTCACATACAGTATTGGTAGCCTTTGTAATGTGAAGTGCTGTAATTCACCCCAAGTGGAAGAGCTGTAGCAATTTGTATTGTCAACTCAAGTGTATTCTCAGTCCTCAATGGCAGCTAATTGCACAATATTTGAATACTTAAAACAGCACACAAGAATTTGCATCTAAAACTGCACAGAAATACATCAGAGCACTAAAACTACTGGGAGCAGCTGAACAATTATCACTAGTACTACCTTACAGCCATATTAAACAGGTACATTTCCAAAATAATGTATTCATTTCAGTCATTAAGGCAATATTTTTTCATTATATAATATAAAAAAATTTCAACAGCAGTACTGAAATCCGATTTCACAGACATCTTCCAATGATGTCTACACAAGCAATTATCTGGATTATTCTATCTAATGAAGAGATATGAAAGAATTTTAGGGTCTAACATTAACCCATAGCCAGCCTATTAAAGTCCCATAAAGCCACGTATTCAAATAAATCTTTCTTCCGGATTCTGACAGCAACATGGGGAGTGTCAGACCACTAAGAAACAGCACAGATGGTAGAGTCCTCATTAGGCTCAACTGTGTTAAGCGACCTTCTCCAGGAAACTTGAATCTTTTCTGTTCATCTTCTGCTTCATAGAATTCTGTTAGCAACCTGCCAAAAGAAAGGGGTGGGAAACGAGAAAAAAAAATGTAATGGAAGTTCAAAGTCATACAAAATGAAACGGGGATTAAGAATTCAGTACACCGACTAGTCTTAAGTTAAGTTTTCATCCGTTCTAGGCATATTCCTGTATTTAATTTTTTTACGAAAAATTGCATTTGATATAAGCACCTTTCACGTCACAAAACTGTCGCAAAGTACTTCATTGGATTCACTGTAAAATGTAGTGACTGTGCATTTTGTGGGTAAATGCTGCCGCCAATTTGCGCACAGCAATGTCCCACAGGTAGGCTCAAAGCGAATTTTATTGTTGGATTATTGGCCAGGGAGGGCACTGTGAGGAACTCCCTTCTCTTTTTAAGTTATGCCATGGGATCTTTGACATCCACCTGAAAAGGCAGGTGGGACCGCGATTTAACGTCTCATCTGTAGGTCGGCACCTCCAACGACTGCACTTGAGTGTCAGCCTACACTGAGAGCTTAAAGTGTCGACGTGGAGCTCAAACCCACAACTCTGGAGTCGGAGGCGAGAGTGCTTCCAACTGAGCCAGGGGGGGATTTCAGCACGTTAACATTCAGAGTGGGTTGTGGTGGAAATGTGAAAAGTGATTGGAAATAAAAGGCTGCTCAGAAAATGTCAGCACATGGTTGCAATTGTATACAATTACACTGCAAATTCCTCAGAGATGGAACGGGTGAAACAATAGGAGCCCTGGGACCCAGGCTAAAATGCTCTTCAAAATGAAAGGCATCGATCACACAGTTAGCAATTGATTTTAACTTCATTTACGAGTCTGCTGGCTGAACACTGCTGTACATTTGGCAAAAAGGTGACCGTAAATTTTTGCTCCCTAAAGGAAAGTGGATTTATCACAGCTAAAAAATACTGTACATCACTTTCCTCACGACTCTGAATGCTGCAATTATATCACGATGATCCACCTAGTGTTGGGTGACCTTTGACAACATTAATTCTCAAAAGTTCTGTTCAGTTTTACAAGTCCGACCTATTATTCCATGGAGGATTTTCAAATCTTAGTCTCGTGGTGATCACTGTCTGCAGCAGCGACTGGACAAATTCCATGAAAGGTAGAATAAACAAACATGGTTTCTCTTCCTATGAACCAGGAGTTAGTCGAAAAGGAATGAGCAAGTCTTGCAATTTGCGAAGAACATTACAGCTAAAATGCAACAGAAAAGCTAACAAAAATGCGCACCTAAACTCTTCAGTAAATGGATATAAAATATCATCTCCTTCCCCTCCCAAAAAGGTGATCTAGAAGCTAAGGCAGATCACAAACTAGCACAAATGTACTCTTGTATTGTATAACCTTGTGGAACAAGAAAATAAATATTCATTGGTTTCAAAGTAGCCATTCACCAAATGTTTGGAGAGCTCCAACAGCATGGATTTAGTGGAAAAGATCATTTATTTCACTCCCCAGATATTGTGGAGATTATCGTGGGATTCTCTCAGTGTATGCTGACACTCGAGTGCAGTGCTGGGAGCACCGTGTCGTTGGAGGTGCCGACCTACAGAGCAAACTGGATTGGAACACAGTTTATAGTGTTGTCTACACTGAAGCAGACAAACTGAATTCTGATTACAAGCTTGGACTGAATATGCAATTAAATTTTCAATTCTTTCTTAGTTTTATACAATTATCCCAGAGAACAGGGACATAGGAATTAGGAGGAGGTTATTTGGCCCATTTGAGCCAATTTTGCCACAGATCATTCCATGACCTACATACTACAATTTCTTTGCCGTGTCCCTTAATATTTTTATTCCCCAAGTATCTATCCATCACTCTCTTAAATCCCCCCCCAACGCATTTCTCATTACAGGGCAATGCATTCCAGATTCTTATTGCTCTCTGTGAGAAGAAATTCTTCGTCTCATTCTTAAACTATTTTGCTCTAATTTTAAGGTTTGGACCACTTGTAACTGATGTACCAGCAGGAGCAAAAAGTCACTTTTTTGCTTATTTTATCAAGCCTCAAGAGCTTGATCAAATCCCCTCAGTCACACACAATACATTCCCAATTTATTCAGCCTTTCACTATAGATTAGACAAATTCCTCCCTTCGGAGCACTATATCAAATGCAAGGATTATTATTATAATAATTATTATTATAATTATTCCTTCACCAGCTAATAAACCCAAATTCATCAAATTTCCAGGAACCTATCAAGTTCATATTTGAATTAAACTCAGGATTGTGTTAAGAGGGAGATTAGGAGAAACTTGTTTATGCAGAGCCTTATTGGAATGCTTTGCTGTGAGTCACTGTTAAGGCTGAGACTATAAACGTGTTTGTATGCATTTGCTTATTGGCCGTAATGATTACCAATGTGACAGAAAAGTACAGTTACTCACTTGTCTTTTATTTCGAAGCGCTCATGCAGCCACCTCTTCAAGAAACTAGGTTCCTCTGGAATTCCTTTCATCTCTAGACGTTCCACAAATATATGTACTGCATTGCAATCCTTGCATAAGAATTCTGTGAACCAACCAAGGAAACAAATATTGAATTCACTGCAGATACAAATATTGTTATCGTAATTTATTGAGAAAAGCATGAATTTTTTCATTATTGCACTTCAAAAAGGCTCAATTACTTCTTCAGAAATGCTGCAAAAGAAAGTCCTTTTCCAATTTCCAATGCTGTATTTTGTAGATTGTTTTCTGAAGTTAATTCTGTGCACATGTTCCCTTTGTACATGGCACACCATAACATCCACCAGCAGACTAGAGAATTGGTCCCTTGGGAGTGCAACAGGCACCGACCTACTGGGGTTTTGGTTCTTTTACAGCTGTCAGGAACTGGGATTGAGAAAGAGGTGTTAATTGAAGTGTGGCTGGAAAAAGGGATCCAACACCTGGTGCGCGACAGCTCCAGGCTCAGTCTGTGCATCGCCTGCTTTGATCAGGTTTGAGCTAGGCTGTAAATCAGGATGAAGTGTGCTGGAGCCCGTTTAGCAAGACTACCTGTAGAAGTTAGTTTCAAGAGCAGTACAAATTGAGCACTGCTCTTACATAGTCCCTTTGAAGTACTCTGGGATCACATTGGAAGGCCCAAAAATATTCAGGTCTATTTTACTCTTGCTTCTTTGGACAAATTCAGATCCTTTGCTTGTGCAGTCCTGTAGGGTAGTAGTTAGAGCATTCTATACACAAACAAGAGGACCTTGGTTCGATTCCCCGTAGGACGAAACGTTACATAAGTTTCTTACTCCACATGCGTTTGTTTGCCCAGCAGTAAGTAGATACCCGCTTGTTAGTTGATTGGCGGATTGCTTTTCCAGGGGTAATAACCCTTCAATGTTTTAAAAAATAATTTGGTCACTCAATCCACAACTGTTTGTGGGACACTGCTGGGCACAATTGCCCACAAAATACAGTCAATTCAATTTACAGTATAATCTGTGAAGCACTTTGAGATGCCTCGAAGATGTGATAAGGCACTATATCAAATGTGAGGAATATTATTATTATTATACGAGGAGGATTATCAGTATATGGAAATGTCCAACCAAAAACTGTTTGAAACAGAATTCATAATAGTTTTTAAAAAGTATTAGACAAACATTTGAAAAATAAAAAAAAATAAAAGGGTATGCGGAATGGACATTGGAGTGCCTTCTTTGCTGTAAAATTCTGCAATTCTAAACAATGATCAGGTTATTTTTGGAGTTCAATGCAGACACAGAATTCCAATAACATGTTTTTAATGGCCCTGATGCAATACAAGTAATATAAATCATAATGCTAGCTCCACAATGCTCTGAAGTGAAGTGACTTGTATAAACACGACGTTACTCATTCCTTTTCAGAAGTCCCTTCATTTTTGATAAGCAAGATTGTCATCAAATCCTGATTACTTCCATACATCTTCACAAAGTATGGTCAGTTCAGTACACCTACATAGAGAGTACCTGAGCATGACTAATATCATTAAGGGCTTAAATTACATTACTAGGTTCATACTGGATTAGTAACAGACACGAGACTCAAGTGAAAGGCCAAATGGAGAGAAAGCATGATAGAATAGTTAGGGGACTCCTTAGGCTTTAAAAGTCTAATGTTTGAGACAAATTGAGGAAGGCAAGGAGCTCCAGAATATTCAGGTCATGGGAAAGAGTGAGCTCGCAAAGTAGTTTGCGCAACGCGTCTGAATTTCAATACAGTGAAGACACAGGGAGTAAACGTGCATTACACAATGTATTTGGAGCGTGGGAGGAGCGTGGGACAATCATGGGAGAAATGTTCAGCGATGCTTTGCCCATAAAGCACTGATAAAATAAAGAAATATGACAGAGAAAGGGAGGTTTGAGGTGTAAGTAGGGTCCTTATCAGACAATACAAACACATAAAGAAGAAACTGTACTGAAACAGTTGATTTAAATAGGTTTGTATTTTTGGATTTAAAAAAGTCCATTTTTAATGCGTATTCATTGGCCTTTCTGGTTTTGTTTCCTGCAGTTTAATGAGCTGAGCCAGATGTTTGCACGTATTTGAGAAGTAGACTCACTGGTGAACCAGTGATGCAATAACCACTTAAAGCTGCAGAATGAAGGGACTACCAAAGTTATTTTTACTGCACTTTTCTCAAAGGAGATGAACATTCTTTGGGAGTGGAAAGAGGAACTGCAGCAGTGTGAAAATAAATAGTTAGAATAAAAGTGCTATTTTTATGAGGACTGGATATTTCATTAAGTTCTCCCAGGTTTCATATCTTTCAATTTACTTTTGGCCCAATACCTGAAACTAAGAAGATAAGTACATAGCAACCAACAATACCAATACTCCCTGCACCTCCTGCCCAAGCGAACACATGCACACACCACATCCTGTATATGGATGCTTTGGGCCATCTAAGTATGAACTGCCACTACATTGCTGAAAAAAAGCCTTTTGGTGCCCGTCCACTTAATGCAGATCAGAGCAGCAATTGAGCAGAGTGGAAACATCACTTACTTAGTAATGTTTTTTGAAAATGACAAGAGCCCCTCTGTAATAAGAGTGGGGGGAGCAAAAGCACATCTTCCAAAACCAGTTTGGGATAGACAGAACGGTTTGAGAGCAGGGATGGATAACCTGGACCTTATACTTCACATTCTCTGAGAATCAAAGTTTACTGCAGAGAAGGAGATCATTCAACCCGTTTCTGTGCTGGTATTAGCTACCAGCACAGAAATAGAGTTATTTGCCCACTTACCCTGACTTTCCTTATACAGTTCAATATCATTGTTCAATATTTACCAAATTTCCATTTGTTTTGGCCACAAAATACAGTCATTACACTTTACAGTATATTCTGTGAAATACTTTGAGACGTCTCGAAGACGTGATCAGACACTACATCAAATGCAAGGATTATTATCATTATTTAAATGCTACTATGGACCCAGCTTCATAAGACATGTTTGGTAAAACATTTCATGTTGTTGGAAACCTCAGTGCTGAAACCTTCTGGCGTTAATCTTCTGCAGTATATGTGCACTGTACATTTTTACAAATCAGCATTCAGCCAGTCAGTGAAGCTACCAAGACATGATGGAAACCCGCAACTTTCAATTATTTTTAGTATGTACAGAGAGGAAAGTGAAGTGTGGAACAAGATGTGAAAGAATGAGAGAAGCAATCAAGAGTGGTGACAGTGCACCAAAAAGTGATGGGATGATTTATATCGTCACCCGATAATAATAATCCTTGCATTTGATACAGCGCTTATCATGTCATCGAGACGTCTCAAAGCACTTCACAGAATATACTGTAAAGTGCAGTGACTGTATATTTTGTGGGAGAAACAATTGCGCACAGCAGGGTCCCACAAACAGTCATGGATTGAATGATCAAATTATTATTATTTGNTTTTTTGAAGGGATAATTACTCTTGGAGCTGTACACTTCCCTAACCACAGCATTAATATGCAACGCTTCTTGGTGAATAGACCTGAACAAGTAAATGCTCTCAGTGAGCCACTACCCTCATAACCTCATATATAAAATGGACCATTCACTTCACGGCTGTTTATGGGACAATGCTGTATGCAAATTGGTTGCTGCATTTGCCTGCGGATATGCAGTGACCGCACATTACGTTAAATTCTGTGAAGTATACTTCAAGCCGTTTTGACAACAAAAGCGCTGTATTAAATGCAAGGATTCGGGTCATTGTTAGTACCTTCACACACACTCTAAACAGTTTTTACAGGCTTGATAACATTAAAACATCTCAAGGCACTTCACAGAATTTATGGTCAAGTGCAGTGATTTTTTTATATAACAAAAATGGGAGCCATTTTTCAGATGGCAAAGTCCCACAGCCAGCCGTGAGATATATGACCATTTAACTTGGCCACCAGGAGAAACTCTCTTCCCTGTAATAATTCTGATATGGGATCAATATTAAGGACATGTATAGAATTTTATTAATTTACACATAACAGATAGAATAAATCTGCCTCATCCCTGACTATTACCAAGTTACTCCCACAGGGTATGCTTGAGCCATGATACCCTCCCCACCTCATGGTCAGGCAGCACAGCTAATGGGTTGTGGTGACTTCTGTGACCAGATAGTACAGCAAAACCATAGGAAGGCAATCTTCTGTAGTATATGTCAATGAATGTACAGGATTGGAAAAGACCATTGCAATCCATTGTGTGTCAGCCTGGCTATGTGGTAGCACTCTCACCTCTGAGTCAGAAGGCTGTGGGTTCAAGCCCCACGTCAGGACTTGGAATCGGTCATCTAAGCTGACGCTCCAATGCAATGCTGGGGTGTTGTTCCATCGTCGGAGGTGCTGTCCTTCGGATGAGACGTTAAATTGAGGTCCCTTCTGCCTGTTCAGGTGAACATTAAAGAATCCATGGCACTACTTAAAAATAGATGGAGTTTCTCCTGGTGTCCTGGCCAACAATTCCCCAAATAAAATTGGTTACTCATTCCTTCATTGACTGTGGGACATTGCTGTGTGCAAACTGGCTGCCGTATTTTGCCCACAAAATACACAGCCAATCCACTTTACAGTATATCCTATGAGACGCTTTAAGACATCTCAACGACATGATAAGGTGCAATATCAAATGCAAGGATTATTATTGTTATTCTCTATCCAGTTCCAAACAAATTAAAAATGGACAAAATCCCAAATCTTGCAATAGTCTTGCACTACAAGTGTGTCAGTTGGCAATGTCTGAAAGTTTGTTGCATATAACTTACTACTTCTTACAACATGTCATTTGGCTGGTTTCTAAACTACGCATAAGGAAGTGGATCTAATAAGTGTGCTTTCGTATTTACCACAAAAATAAAGCATAATTATCTCAAGAAAGTTATGGTAGACATTGTTCAATAGTAGAGTTAAGAACATTCTTAAAATGGGTAACAGTATATTACTGAAGGTATGTAAACAACCCTGGACATTTAGGGCATGTTGTAGATTGGAGGCAATCTTCTGTGGTATATGTCAATGAGTTGAAACAGCTGGCTTT